TATATGTGTAAAGTTTGTAGGAGAGTGCATTGGAACTTTGTTCCATCAAATGTGTATGTATTTTTATGTGTGGGTGTGTGTTGGACCTGGCTCCATCCAATAACTCTGTATATATATATGTGTGCATATGGGAAAAATGCTTTGGAATCTGCTTGTTCAAACTTTGTTTTAGTCGCCCACCAGGTATGTACATATGTGCATCTGCATATATTTGTATGTATTTGCATGTGTGACTTGCTTGGAGACTGCTTGCTGGAGCTTTGCTCCATCCGTTCAATGTGTACATATGTATATGTCTGTCCATCTATCTGTCTGTCTGTCTATCAGTATGTATGTATATACTTGTATTTATGAAGTTGTTAGAGTCTGGCTTTTGCTTAATTTACTCAGTCTCTCTCTCTCTCTCTGTATGTGTGTGTGTGTGTGTGTGCGTTTGTGTGTGTGTGTGTATGAATTTACTCTCTCTCCTTTTGTCTCTCACAATATCAAGGAGTTAGAAGAGTTCAGACTCTTTCCCTGGACACAGGGAATGCCCCCAGTACACTGAGCTTTGTTCCCTCAGAGAAAGGTCTGCTGAGTACTTTCTGTAATCACTGGTTGACAGGGGAAACAGCCCCTGTTGATACTTGACCATCTCCTGTCAACTACTCAGCAACCACCCCATCAGCTGTCTGCCTCCATTTACCCCAGCTGTGGAAGCTGGAAAATGGCAACTCACTTTTGCTCTTGAATGAATATCAGGACCATAGTGGTAAGCTTTCTGTTTATAAGAATTGGATGAAAGGTGACTATAACAGAGAGACAGAAGCATTGCCCGTAGATTTTCTATTGGAAAACAACTAAGTATATCTTCAATAGATTTAGTTTGTATTTTTTACTATGCCACATGTCTTTGCGTACATTTTCTAAGTACACGGGTTTAACTAATACAAGGAGATAAGTGTTTCTCCTTAATCTCTGAACACCTTGTGAGATGACTGGGAGTCCTCAGATGAAGCCTGGGCTATGAGGTTCCTAGCCAGGCTCACTCAAAAGATAACAGTAGAACAGCTAGGGCTAAGGATGTTTGTGTCAGTCAGTGTTCTTTCTTTTCTTTTCTGACACTGTGACAAAATACTTGAGAAAATTAACTTAATGGAAAAAAATTTTTATTGGGAGGTGACCCAGTGTATAGAATACATGTGTGCAAGTCTGACCACCTGAGTTCAGGTCCTACAATTCTGTATAATAAGACTGATATGGTAGAGCTGCCTTTAATCCCAGTCCTTGCAGAGAGAGACAAAAGATCCCAAGAGCTCACTGGTCAGTCCAACTAGACTATGGTTTAGTTCCAAGTTCAGTGATAAATACGATCTCCGAAATAAGGTGGAGAGTGAACCAGGAAGACTCCTGATTTTTCCAGAGCAAGTATCTATGACAGATATCTGCACTTTAGATTTCAAATGAATGGGTTCATTAAGCCCGCAACAGGTGAAAGTAAAAGGCATTAGCAGGCAGCAGGTAGACAGCAAAACACCAGCCAATCTGGAACTTACAACATCCTTCAGTAATGACTAGGCAAGCCCTGTTGAAAGAACCAACTAGAGCTCCTGATCTAGCCTTCTAGACAGAGCACAGCACTCGCTTGAGTATTGCTGCTATGTAAAAGACTAAAGATCAAAGACAGCAAACATCATCAACTTGGGTTTTTAAAGCATCTGACAGAAATGACTGGGAAGCCTCATTGCAAGTTCTGGAAAGTAATGCTGGAATCTGGATCAAGAGTTCCCCAGGAGGATACTTTTGAGAAAGAACTTCCAGTATCTCATCCCCTGGGCAGGCATCTTTATACCATGGAATAAAGAACAGTGACCTTGGTTGAAAACCGTTTATCTGGCAGACTGCCAGGTCATCTGCTATTCTGAAGACATCACAGCCTGAAGGCATCCCACAAGTTCCACTGTACACAGGGCAACTGGTAAGAACCCTCCCGAAGGCCCACAGCAAATGGGATGAATTCCTGTCTGGAGTCCAAGGAACAAAGTGTTTATCCTGACAAAAGCCATCTTTAGCATTTGTTATCCAGGCTCTGCGTTGTCTGTCTGTCCAGTCTCTGTGTTGTCTGTCATGTATGCTCAATCATTTGAGCCATCCCTTTTGACTTTGTTGTGCATACATACTGCTGAGAATTCAGTAACTGGACAGTCTGTGAGAGTGAATCATCTGGGCTATTTGCTTTGTGAAGACATTCATTTCACAGCTGATAAGAGGTTTTCCCTGGTCAGATCTAATCTTTAGATCTAATCTTACAGCATTCCCTGTAGATACATATGCATAACTATGTCCCTGTCTTAAAACTACGCAAGTTTCTATTCTAATGTCAATACATCTGTATAGTATATTGGATGGCCTAGTGCCTCAGTTTTTTTGATAACCCAGTGTCTCTAAAGTGCTGTTGTTCCTTTATTACCAACATTAAGAAAATGTAGAGTTAACATGGTATATTTAGTCTGTCCTGGGGTTTTTACTCTTCCTTTTTGTTTAATACGCATGTGTTTTAAGGTATGGTTAGATTTTTCTATCTATAAATGCTTGTCCTATGGGATTTCGTGGTATACTAGTAACATGCTTTATATTGTAATATACATAGAATTATTTCACCTTAATGGATATAAATCTGGGAGCATTTCAATTTTAATTTATGCAGATATCTCCTATAATTAGCATTATTTCCATCAATTGTAATTACACAATCAGCCTTTATAGAACTTAAAGCAGCTGCCTACTGAAACCCTCAGTATATGTCAATGGTATAGTGTATATACACTTGATTTCCAAATTCTGCAAAACGGAAAACATTCATTTGTCACATATAACTTCTTTTGGTACCCCTAGGGTTATTGTCAGCAGGTCACAGGATTTGATTGTATAGAGAATGTTTAGGAGATTTTTAAAATTATTTCTTTGGTTTGTTGCCAAAAAACACTGGAACATTTTATTCTTTAAACCTTTCTCATTAACACGAGGTTTCTCGTGAAGTTTTGAGGCGTCTAACACATTTCCTATTTGCAATTGGTCAATTTCATCATATCTTGAGGTAAGTAACCTGGCAAACCTCTATGCAATTAAATATGAGTGATACACAATGTGAGATTTCTGCTTCTAATGGCCTGTTGCAATTGTATAAATAACAAGGTTAATTCTCAGTTGTCAGGTACAAATTCAGCAGTCTCTATATGCCAAACAACTCTTTCTGCATATAAACTATCGGGGATTATATTAAGAGATTTAGGAAAATCTGATAATATCATAATGACTGGATACAATTCTGACTTTTTAAATGATGTATATGGACTTTTCAGTACCTTGCTTGTTTTCTCTGATTTATAATCAGCCATTCCCATTGGCTTGTGTCCTTAGAGAATGTGAGTGCCTCTGAAATTGATCTTCTCTTTATGATACGTGGAGGAATCAAATTAGCTCCTTTTATAAAATGTATACACTTGGTTTTTGGATATTTGTTATTAATTTTGCCCAAATAATTACTCCAAACACTTTGCCAATCTTCACTTATCATTCATAATGATGTAATCTCAGCATTAGTGCTCAGATGTACTACAATTTCAGTTGCATCTATTCCTGACAATTGGCACAAGATTGTAAAGGGAGTTCTAGAAGTCTCACACTATTTAGTATTTAGTTCATGTCCAACCATTGTCAATATTCTCGGCCCCAT